GCATGTAAAATCCAACCTTACTTCACATTTATTAGGTGATTTGCATGTGCATCAAAATTTCTATGTATTTGCATGTCAGGGAGGAAAATGTGTCTAATTTGTTTAAAATACACTGCATGTCCTACATTTCTGTTACAGAATGCCTTTCTGGCTTTTCAGTGTGAGACATTAAATCATCATCTGTTTCTTTTCTCTTTAGATGCTTTATAACCAATCAAATGGTGAAAATGGTGACTACAATGGGACTCTTCCCCTTTGTGTTTCTCTTTAACATGTTAATGTTTGCAGTGACAGTCAAACGTGTTTTCTGTGTTGGACAAAAAAAAGAGGTAAATTTGTCAAAAGAATCTTTAAATAACTTCATTTCTAAATCCTCCATATCAGCCTGTCCCTTGAAAACCCCAGACCAACTGGTCTTGACAACATTATTCCTCATTTTCCAATTTAAAATGGGTCTGCCTCGGGACCTCCTCCAGGTGGGACATGCCTGGAACACCCAGGAAGCATCCTGTCAGATTCCCCTATCACCTTAACTGGCTCCTTTCCATGTGGAGGAGTAGCAGCTTTACTCTGAGCCCCTCCCAAATGGCTAAGCTCCTCACCCTATGTCTAAGGGAGAGACCAGCCACCCTAAAAAAAAACTTAGAAAGCTCATTTCTGCCATTTGAATCTGTGATCTCTTTGAGTCACTACCCAGAGCTCATGACCGTAGGTGAGGGAAAGGATGTAGTTCGACCAGTAAACTGAGTGCTTTGCTTTTACTCTCAGCTCTCTTTTTACAATGACATTTGACTCAGACTTGGAGCTACTGATTCTCATTCCTACTGCTTCACACTTGGTTATGAACCACTCCAGTGCAAGCTAGAGGCCACCACCCAATAAAGCCAACAGAACCATATTATCTGTGAAAAGCAGAGATGAAATTCTGAGATCACCCATGTGAAAGCCTTCCAGCACTTGGCTATGCCTGTCCATAGAAATTATGAACAGAATTGGTGCTAAAATGACAGCCCTGGGTCCAACACGGACCGGGAACAAGTCTGACCTGCCAATGTGAACCAAGTTATTGCAATGGTTGCCTAATTTTAAATATTTTGAAGAAAGTTATTTACTGGTAATATTTTAAAATGTGTTTTTAAAGCTTAAAACATTTCTATTAAAATCAGACTCTATAAATGAACAAGTGCATCTGGAGAACACAATTTTAAGCAATTTTGAAAACATTTTGTGGTCATCTGTGTTTTTTTTAACCTGCTGTGCCATGTTTCATTCTGGTAAATCAGCTCGGGCAGATTATCCATACCAAAGTCATCAAAAGTATTTGTCGCCTGTTGGGAGTCGGCGCACTGCTTGGCCTTACCTGAAGCCTGGCTTTCTTCTCATTTGGACAGCTGACCACTCTTGGCCTCTACCTCTTCTGCATCCTGAACTCACTGCAAGGTCTGTACAGTCTACTGCTATGTGTGTTTCTGTCAAAGGGAATAATGAGGATTAGCTTATCGAGTCCCACCCAGTATCCAGTAAGGGTCCTGGCTAGACCACCCATGTTGAAAACCAAGCCCTGGAATGGCGCAGCTACATCTGCAGCCTGTCTGCAACTCGGACACAAAACATTTAATTCTTCCCGTCTCACCACCATGGGAAGCAGAGCTTTGAGCTGCTCTGCTCCCAGGCTGTGGAACTCTCTACCCCCAGATATAAAAAACACTGATTCTCTCCCTCATTTGAAATCCCCACTAAAACTCCTATATTCAAATCTGCATATTCACCGTGAATCTATTGCTTGTTTATTCTATCTTGTGCTTTTGTTTTTATTGTTCTTCATTTTGTCATTGTTCTATTATGTGTTCTATTTTATTGTAAAGTGTCCTTGGGTGTCTTGAAAGGCGCTTCCAAAAAAAATGTATTATTATCAGTATTATTATTGCATGTTGTTCTCTGTATGATTGTGTATGTGATGAATAAAGCTTGTTTGTTTGAAACAGAACAAAATTTTCCAACAAGGCCACTTGTTAAAGTGCACATGCTATCCATTTCATAGACATTACTTCAAAATACATCATTGTATGCAGTAGATTTGGACTTTTAGTGTGTATAAATGAACAGTAACCTAACACAGTTGCCTTATCAGTTTATTTGAATTAATTGCACACTCCTCACACTTCCTGGACTCACTCTGATCCTTTGCCTAACACACTCTTCTTTGTGCCACACAGGTTTCTTCAACTTCCTGTGGTTTGTGATGTCAGTGAGAAAGTCCCAAAACTCTGCTAAACAGACGAGCAGTGAAACACGTAGTAAAAGCAACTAGATTAAACACAACTGGAAAAATACCAAGAGGTGTGCTGGTGAAATGTGCAACATAACGCTGAAATCTGACAGTAACGATTTTGTTTTACTTCTGGATTTTATATGCACGGCAGTTTACCATAACTGGCAGGAGCTGATTCTAAATGATGAAAATAAATGTAATAGTATGAAGATTTTGACAGTTCTGCTGCTTTATTTGAAACTTTCTTGTTTATATAAATCTTTGTGGTAAAGTTTAAATAGGATGAAAACATCCTATTTAAACTTTATTTCATTTCGGGGAGACCTTTTGAGAGTAAAAGTTGCCATACTGAAGAGAATCTAGAAGATTCCAGATCCGACTGGATTGTCAAGAGGACAATAATTGATTATTGATATTTTTCTCTTGAAGTCACCTGTCCTCTTTTTTCTGATTGCACACAGAGCTGATCTTGCTTTTAAATGCAGTTCACCCTCCACTGGTTTAGCGCTTTGAGAAATTTTGATATAGTTATGTTGATTACACCATTGTGAATTTACGGCATGTTTCCTTATAATCCAGCTTTGAGATTATTAGAAATTGTGTTAGTTATTTTATGTTTTGTACATATGAACTTTTCTGTGCCAGTTCGTACATCTGAACATGCTCAATGCATTGCTAACTCATAAAAGCTACAGTGTCAGTATGAATAATAAAAAAAAATGATTTTTTTTTTTTGCTTTGCTTGTTTGTTATATTTCATAATATTCCTATTAACAGATCTAGTTTAGAACAGACTGATGTCAGAGTCCAAACTCCACTGAAAATAGTTTTTAGAACTGCAGTCATATTATTGCCCCCATAAAGAACATTTGCCTAAAACAAATACCTCCCAAAGACCACACAGAAGCGCCTCTTAAACATTAAACACATAGTCACTCAGGCAGATTACTGGTGACTGTCTGGTCCATCGTGCTCACCTCAGAGATGTTGACTGAATGTTAAGGTAAGTCTTTCTTTATTTCCTCATTATTTATTTCTTTGTGTGCTTTGTATCAAATGCAAAAAAAAGACAAAAAGTGAATTTTAGCTAGAAAAAATACTTAACATCTTTATTAGTTTTGTAATGTATTTCGGCAAACACTTGCTAACTACTAGTCAAGCATTACTAAATCTTGACTGCAATGCAAACCAGGAATGGAGAAGACTGACCCTTGGACAGTAGCTAGGACAGTAACTTTTACTATGAAGGCAAATGGTCCCAATTTCTAGTTTGCGTTGCACTTTTCACAGCATCACTATAGCTGGTCTTGAGGGAAAGAAATAGATCATTGACATTTGGCTACACCTGTATGACTGAGGCTTTAGCAATTATTTTCCCAGTGATTGGCATCAACCTTCAGAAATTACTTGCAAAGGGTCAGAAAATGCTCAAAATGGTCAATAGATACTTAAAATGAGAGAGAACTTGAGGGTAGGTAAACATTTGTATGTTTTTTAAAGGACTTGAAGACAGTCAGACAAGTGCATTATTGTTATCAGTACATGCTTTCCAATATGCATATTCGAGCTTACTTCCTACTACCTTCCTCATATATGAATGTTTATTGACATGGGTTTTAAATAAAGCTGATTGAAACTCTTTGAAACACGTTCATTTTGTTTTATATTTTGTTTTAAATTTATTCCACATATTCACAGGATAAATAATGTTGACCGTACTTCTTTTGCTGCTGCTGCACGAATCACTGGCTGACCAAGGTATGAATGTCTGTTTTGTTTGCTCACTCATAGGAATTGATATTTATTTATTATTTATTTATGTATTTATTTATTTATCTAACATTTTTGTGCAGTCTTCAAAAAATAACACAAATACAAATTGGATTTAAAATTCTGGTTCTCACCACTTATTTCTGTGGAATATTTTTAATTTACCTCATATTTTATATTTTCTTCCATTTTTTCTGCCTTGTCGTGTATAAGACCTCCAGTTTACATGAAGTCGTTATACCAACCACAAAGATCATTTGTAACACATGATTCAGAAAAATTCTATTATTTTATAATCTTACAATATAAAGCACCTTGTGGCGACTGCTGCTGTGATGTGGTACTACTTGTCCGTATGTAAAACATTAAAGTTCCAGGAGATTTAGAGGGAGCAAGAACTGCAATCAAGCTCTATTTATAGTTTTTGCTATAACTTGCCTGGAAATTTGTTCTAACTGGCAACAGTTTTTTCACATCTCTGTGGAGGAATTTTGGCCCTTTTTCTTTGCAGAACTGATGAGTAAACTGGAGCGGGAGATTGAGAGGCAGATTGGGGCTCCAGCTGCAATGATGTGGATGCTGTATCAATCTGTTGTGGTAACAGGAGAATTGAGCATAAAAGTGATGCTCTTATTTACAAATCAATCTATGTGCCTCCTCTCACATATGGTCACATTAGGTGTGACCAGCCGCTCACCAGCCGCTGTTGGCCTCACCAGCTGTTGTTTATCCGGGGCCTTGAAGTGGAGAGGGTGAGCAGCTTTAGGTACCTGGGCGTCTACATCTCTGAGGACCTCACCTGGACACTGAACACCACACAGCTGGTCAAGAAGGCTCAGCAGCGGCTGTATTTCCTGAGGAGGCTGAGGAAATTTGGTATGTCGGTCAAGATCCTCAGCAGGGTCTACAGCTGCATGGTGGAGAGCACACTGACAAGCTGCATCACTGCATGGTCCAGCAGCACTACTGCCATGGACTGCAAACACCTGCAGAGAGTGATAACAACTGCTTGGAAGATCACTGCTGTCACTGCAGAGCACTTACCATCGCAGAGCCCAGAGGAGAGCTGCCTCCATCCCCAAAGACCCCCCACACCCCCAACACGGACTGTTCACACTTCTGCCATTGGGATGGAGGTTCAGAAGTGTGATATCCAGAACATCTATACTCAACAACTCTTTCTTCCCCACTGCCATCAGACTCTTGAACAGCTGACCTATTTTTGACCAGTAATAATAATTTTTTGCACATCAGGCTGCATATTAAGCCAACATATTAAGCTATAGCTCTTTTGCACACATCTCTGTTTCACACTTTAATACTTTGTCTCCTTTTTTGTACTTTTGTACTATTTGTATTTTATCTGTTCTATTTCTGTTGTCTATATTAACCGGCATCTGAGGGCGGACAGCAAAGAAAAAAATTCATTGCACAGAGAAATGCCTTTTTCCCCCTTTGGACACGTGACAATAAACACTTTGAATCTTGAAAAATGAAAAAAACTGTGAAATCAGGGAGGGGGCTTAAACTTTTTCACAGCACTATATGTGTACTACTTGGTCTCTCTGGAATAGTTGCTCTTAACTTAACCCTGACTGAATATGTGTAAATTTATGTGAGTTACATCTTTTTTTTTGTCTTCTGTGTCTGTGCACAGTGTGCCTCACCATTTCTACTTACACCACTGAAATTAATGGAACTAATGCAAACATCACTGCACATCAAAGTACGGTGGACTGTCAGATGGACTGTCAGACTTCCTGCGTCTTTCTATGCATTCCTGGAGAAGAGGCATGGTTCAATGGTACATCTTACTGCTTGGATGTTGAGCCTGAAACAACACCTGAAAATGGAATAATTTATCAACTGGGAAAATGTAAGTGCGCTGAAATCTAGTCTGATTAGGATAGAAATTGTTCTGCCGAACTGCTGATTCATAGCCATTCCCACTTGTCCTCTCTTTTTCTTAATCTCTTTCGTGTCTCTTTTCCAGATCACACTTGCTACCTGAACCCATGCCTGAACAGTTCCATCTTGCAACTGATTGATTCACTGGATTATAAACAGAAAAACTTGATAACACTCTTCAACATGAGAAACTCGTGTTTGGACCTCTTCAATAATAATCAAAAACTCAAACAGATCTTTATAAAGTAAGTAGGAGTCCTGCAGCAGGCACTCCTGCACATGCTGTTGAGTAGGCACATGTATTTGTCTTTTTTCCTTTTGTTCTATTTTTTCCCTTTAGTACTGTTAATCTTTAGCCCCGTGACCAAAATTGCTCACAGGATGGTTGATCCATCAATTTGGATCAGACTGAGACATCTTAATGACAGTCGGGTCACCTTGGCACAAATTTTCGTGCCTTCACGTCACACTAGCATTTGTGGTTGCCAAATGCTAGTTCATTTAATGCAAATGTATAAATCTGATTGCAGAAGATGTTCTTTCATTTGCAACCATGTGGATTTTATTTCTGCAGTGAAGAAAGAAAGGCCATCCATACCCTCATAAATAACACCCAGACTGAGGTTGCATTGTCCACTACCTACAACCAGCAGTACTTGTCTCTGAATGTGATCAACATCAGCAAGGCCTCAGTGAATTCCACAGTGGAAATAGAAGCTCCCCAGGTACACAAGCCAGATGTTGATGAAAAACACAAGGGAATAATATGGACTCAGCTAGCATGACAGTAGTTGTTTAAAAGTATTGTCTTCGATCTAGTTACTAATACTGTATGTCAGGGATGACTGTGGCTCAGGGGGTTGGGAAGCGTATC